GCCGCTGCCGCTGAGGCCGCGCCACAGCCTGCAGCTCCCTCTCTGGGGCTGGAAAGCAAGCCCTCTGCACCCGCTTAAAACCACGCATTTAAAAATATTTCAGTGAAGTTTGACGGCAAGCAGATCGGCAACTGTAGAATAAATATATACATTATTTAGGGGGTAGGAGGGCAGAGAGCCTAGGAAGAGGGGGCGGGGAACTAGGGAAGATAATTATGACTGGTTGTGCTCCTGTGTCCAATTCCCCCTCCATCTCCTGCTGTAATTCCAGCCCGGTGACCTGTTGTTTTTCCAGCTCCTGTTTGTCGAATATCTGCTATGCCCACTTGTTAACCATTTTTGCTCGGATTCAGCCGGTGTAATCTTCCTGATTAAAGCCTCTGAGAAGAATTTTTGATAAGAATTTTTTCCCGAAAAATCCTGAAGCCTATTCCAATAAACAGGAAACAAGATTCCGTTATTGCTACTATTATTATTCTAGAGATTTATCAGCTAAGAAATTAGATCCTGAAAATCATAACCCACAAGCTGTGTTCATTTTTCAGTTTTTAATATGACTGTACACATGAGTAATGCAACACTTCTGACCATTGGCGATTTAGAATCCAATTAGGTAAAAAGTCTTCAGAATAAGAGTGGCTACATAAACCGTAGAGATCCACAGCTTTTTCATATATGTAATTACACGTGTAAAAGCAAATGTCGTCAGCTGTTCAACACCTGCTCATTAACAAGCCATAGGAAGGCATGAAATTTGAGTTTCATAGCACTGTCTTCGTTGAAAAATATGTCATAAGGATGCTCTAATAATAATTGTACTTATGTTTACTACACTTTTCTCTATTAATTTTTCAGTGCATTTTTGAGGCCTAAACTGGGAAAGCAATATGAAGCCTCTTGTGTGGTATGTGATATTTACCATTTAACGACTATTTCTATATTCTGTATGGTAATTTGTAAGAAAGACGTTAGATCATACTGTGTATATTAATTCACTTGGCAAATATTATTGAGCACCTACTACGTGTCAGGCAGAGTTCCAGATAATGAGATAGAGCAATAATCTAAACAAATATGGGGTTTGCATTCTAAAGGGAGAGGGACAGTCTACTCACAAATAAGTAAAAGCCATAACAAGCCAGATGGTGATATACGCTATGGAGAAAAGTTAAGCAGAAAAGGAAATTAGAGAGTATTAGGGTGAAGGTTTTATGTTAGATGCATTGGACAGATAAGGTTTGCATGCTAATGTGACCCTTGGACAAAGCTTTAAGGAAGGGAGGGAAAAATAGCTGAGGGAAGAGCAGAGGAAAAGCAAGACTAAAGGCCCTTAGCCCAGAGCCCAGGGTGGGGGTTGGTAGACCTGTAGAAGGGGGGTGGGGGGGAGAGATAGCAGAGAACCAGGTGGTAGAGGGCTTGCAGGGCAAATATGATAAGTGAAATCCTTAATTAACAAAATCAAGATTCAAGGGGGAGGGTATAGCTCTCGTGGTAGAGCACATGCTTAGCATGCACTCAGTCCTGGGTTCAGTCCCCAGCATCTTGATAAAAAATAGATGAATAAATAAATAAAGCTAATTACCCCCCCAAAAAAACAAAATCAAGACTTATATAGTGGAAGTTCACAAGATGACAGCCTGTGAACTACTCAAAATAATATGCATTTTTGAATTTGATGCCTTCCATTTTTTGTGCAAGTCTGAAATGGATGATATGAAATAACTACGAAAATAATGCTATTAATGTTTATGCAAAATATTGTGTACTTGTCCTGAGATTATAAGGGAATCCCATGCATGTCTTACAAATTTAGAACAAAGGACATGAAACAATGAAGCAAAGCGTTTTTCATAGACTTCATTAAAATTTGGAGCTCAGGTAAAGGTCTTACATTGCATATGTTATAACCTAAAAGTGGAAATCTACCCATGTGAGTATTGCCATGATTTTTCCAAATGCCTAGATAGGTGATAGATGACCTCCTAGTAAGGAGCTCTGAAATGTGTTTGGGCCACAAACTATTATAGAGCCAGTGGAGAGTTAAACACCCCCCTCCCACACACACATGCACACTTAAATAGGAATTTGCTTTGTTGCAACTCTTAACCTCCAAAATTGTCACAGTTTTTTTTTTAATCTAACTAACTTTCTAGTAAGTCTCTTTTAATGTAATTTGTTGTACTTAGCTCAGGTTAAAGTAATTTGACACTTGAAATCTCTGAGCCTTCATCAAACCATGGTTACAATTACACTAGCTTAAAATAACCCTGACTTTTCTCTGTTCTTGGCAAAGATATGCTTGACATTTTTAATATAGTCACACAATATTAAAAAAGTAAGTCACATTCATAGATAGATATAAGTATAAAAACCAATTTCCTGCATTGAAAATTATAAAAAGTTATATTAGTAACACTTAAGAAGAAAATGATATTAAGTATCTAAAGCTTCTTGAGATTATGAAATATATAACTCATCCTCTAAAGGTATATTCATCAAGACTGTATAAATTCTTATAGTCTTCTAATGTCTAACATACTCACCCTTTACTTAATGAATACTTAGATATCCGAGGGCTGAGGAATTTAAAAGTGTTTGGATCTGCCTTTATCTTGTTTCTTTGAAAAAACAAAATACAACGCAAAACAAAACCCAAAGGACTGTATCTCTGATTACACTCTTTGCCAAACCTCAGCATGCCTTTCATTATGAAGATGAATTTATTTTCCTTCCTTGAGTCTAAAGTAGATGGTTTTCTTTGGAGAATCTCTGTGTTAAGTCATATTGTTTTCTCAGGTATCCTAATGATTCCAATACTACAGCTTGAGCACCTGGGACTTGTATTACCATTCTAGAGAACACAATTCTTTACACCATCTGGGACATCAAGTACCAATCAGGTTCTGTTCATCCAAGTCAAATGTCTATTAAATTTATTCTAATATTTGGTAGCTACACTTTTCCCAACATCTTATAGTGATATCCTTCCTCCTATACCTTCAAAAAAAATTGAGTAGGTCAAACCTGTTCAGTGGGGATGCTTCACTCTCTGAAAGAATTTCCAACCAGGATAGAAGATTTAGTAAACTAGCAAAGCAAAAATGGCTTATTTTCCACCTCCCTCCCTCTTTCTCCCTGTCCTTTTCTTTCTTTATTCAAAAGATAAATTAAATATCTTTATAGTTGCGGGCATTAGGTGAGGAGTGTCATGTGCCAAGTCATTGCTAGGAACATAGAATAACTCAGGAACCCTAAAATCAGATCTCTTGAAAGATTGCACATTCTCATAAATTCTGTACCTCAAGATACTTTCACAAGAGACGTTTCAATTTGGTCTGCAGTTGTGGTAACCCTTTAGATGGCCCAAAAACATTTTTATAAAATATTACATCCAAAAACTTTATAAGGTTAAATGTGTTGTTGCACTTTTTTCTTTTGATGGAAACTTATTTTGGTGGAAATAAAAATCATTTAATAATTCAAACCATAGACTTTGGCTCAAAAACTTGAAAATGGGTAGATAATAGGAAATTATCACTGACTCACTGCATGTCAACATACAGAATGAAATGCAACTTGAGCACACTCTAAACAATTTAATGTAATGATTTGTGTCTTTTCGGGTATGTAGTACATTGTCTAGTTTTTCACCCATCAGAGTCCAATCTCTTATTTCACTTTTTTTGTTGTCTATAGTCCTTTGAACGAGTATTGGTAGAAAACAAGCTTCATGGCCTCTCTCCGGCCCTCTCTGAGGCCATCCAGAGCATTTCCAGATGGGAACTGGTACAAGCTGCTTTGCCTCATGTCCTCCACTGCACCGCCACCCTGCTGTCGAACAGGAACAAGCTAGGTTGGTGCTCCTGCTTCCCTTCTTCATGGTGAATCATTGTCCTCACTCAGAGCAACTCCTAATAACATTCATAAGAACCGTCCTTCTTCCTTATTATTTGTTTTCCCAGGCACTGTGCACACATTCTCTCATTTAATTTTCACAAAGTCTCCATCACTCTGGCATCACTATTATCTCCATGTTACCCATGAGAGGACTAGCTCTGTTTGTTTTAAGGTTTAAATTTTACAAGTATTATGTGAATATATTCTCCATTCAAACATTAAAATGTTATAGGAAAACTAAAGACTCTCACCTGTTCAAGATGAGTTCTAATCAGAGCTGTCCCTTTGTTCTCCCAATACCTAAAGCAACTGCCTTCGTGAATTTGGCAAAGTGCCCTCCAGACCTTTCCCAACTTTGTAGTGCTATGTGTATGTGTACATGCATGCACATAAATATTATTAGTCTTATTTAGATTATTTGCAGATTGCTTTTCCTACATAGCATTATGTCCTAGCTGTCTATCCCAAGCTCTTCTCCATCCTGTTCCTTCCCCTTATTTGGGTCTTTGCTCACATGTTACCTTTCTCAAGAGGTCTTTCCTAGTCACACTTTCTAAAATGGAGTAGTTGTTATCTTCAGAGCCAATACTCTTAACCATTGTGCTGCTCATTTGGGAACATATATGGGGATCTTACTGAAGAGCTGTGATCCATGCAGTTTCTCTTCCTGTGACAGCATATCATTCTGCAGAGATTACAGCCAGTTAGAAAGTCCCCAGAACAAGAATGAGCCCTCCCAGCAGTGACTGTAAGTGGTACAGAGAAATGCTGGTGTCTCCCAGGAAATCAAGTCACAGAACAAAGCAAGGATGTGCTCTCAAGACCTAAGGTTGACATCCATTGTTCTGGTCATAGAGTTTGCCTTAACCTGACTGTGGGGTTGTCCCATGCAGGCCACCAGGATAAACTGGGTGTCGCTGAGACAAAGCTCCTTCACACCCTGCACTGGATGCTCCTGGAGGCCCCCCAGGACTGCAGCAGTGAGCGTTTTGGGGGCACAGACCGAGGCTCCAGCTGGGGTGGCGGCAGCAGCGCTTTCATCCATCAGGTTGAAAACCAAGGTTCTCCAGGGCAGCCTTGCCAGAGCACCTCCAACGATGAAGAAGAAAACAACCGAAGGAAGATCTTCCAGAACTCCATGGCTACCGTGGAGCTCTTTGTGTTTCTGTTTGCTCCTCTGGTACACAGGATCAAGGTAAGCAGAAAGCTGGTTAGGGCTGAAGGGGGCTGGAGGTCAGGTGAGGGTGGGCTTCAAATGATATTTCCATACTTGGTGTCCATGTCTTTGTCTGATCTTATGGCAAGCCAAGACATGGAGAGCTTTGCTGCTATATTAAACTACCGAACATTATTTCAAAACCAAAGTTCTTCTTTAAGAACTTTCAGTGGTTCTCCATCTGCCCCAAGATCATGCCCAGCATATGAAACATGCCAAATAAGGTCAAGCATGATCTGGAGCTTAAGTCCCTCTCGTAATCAACTGCCAGTCCCTACTGACCACCTCATGATCCAGCTCTGGGAGCCATGTGAACCATCCCCTCAATCTGACCTTGCAGTCTGCTCTGCCCTCCTTTCCCTCCATTGTTCCTTTGTATTTCTGTAGCATTTTGTAATAATAATATTACATCTGTTATAATAGAGCAGAAGTTTTTACGTTTTATGTGCTGTGGACCTTTTAACAATTTGGTGTACAATCTAAGAACTGCTTTTCAAAATATTTTTAAATGCATAAAGTACAAAACATGGTTATTACATGGAAATAAACTGTATTAAAATACAATTATATGCATGTACTCCTTGGATCTGAAAGAGACAAAATCATTTGAAGTCATTGTGCCAACCCTTTCTAGCTATGTGATCTTGGTGATATTATTTAACCTCTTGGATCCTCCACTGCATACAATTTTGGATATTTTGAACACATGGTGAGTATACGTGAAGACAGAGTGCATAGAAAGTCCGTGGAAAGACATCAAGTACATGGAAAGAAATCAAGAATTATTTGTTACTTCTATGAATGAATGAATGAGAGTGTTCCATCTAAGTGCTCTGATAAGAGATAAGGAATTATTACACTCAACTGTTCTTTAATAGAATATCAGGATCCTAATAAATCAATGTTTCATATATATATATATAAAATAAATATATAAATACATATATATATATGTATATATGGTGGTTGTGAGACCATTGAGGGGGCATGGACTAGTGAGAACTTTCATCCATTTAATTTAATTTTAGAGAAATTCACTTTCAATGGACTTTGTCCCATTGCTGAATTGAAATTACCTGTAAATTCCCAAAATGTTTCACAGGCACTGGCCACATCATCTATGAAAATTATCAAAAAATTCTGTGTTATTAAATTAAATTAAATTGCTGCTTTAAAAGCATTATGCTTTCCATCTTTAAAAGTCTTTTATAAAGGTTACACTTAATGGAAAGCATCACTTTATCTGAGACCCTCTCCCAGACCCATGGGGCCTGCAGGACCTGCTTTTGCCCACCTCCCCAGCCTCGTCTCCCTCCATCTCACTGGTGTCTCTCTTGTTCACTAATTTGCAGACTCACCACAGGTTCACCCTCCAACTCACCAAGCGTATTTTTGCTTTCAGGTCTTTTCACTGACTTTTCCTTCTATTTGAAGCATTACTCCCACCCTCTATCCCTAGATTTTCACATGGCCATGTCCTTTCTGTCACTTTACTCACAACTCAAATGTTACCACCTCGGGAAGTATTTCCCTGGCTACTTTAGTGCCACCAGTATATAAATCTACTTCTTTCATTGTTTCCTTCTTAGCACTTATCAGTACCTGAAATTATTTTATGTGTTTGTTTACATCTTTGTTGCCTATCACTCGCCCTAAAACAGAGGTTCTTGAGCAAAAGGATGCTGCCTGTCCAGGTCCCAGCTGTATCTCTAGCGCCTAAAGAGTGTCTGACATATATGGAGCAATCAATAATCACTTAATGACTGACTCACTAAATAAAACCAAGTTATTATCAGAAGCTGATTCTGGTGCTAAAAGTATCAGTTACATGTAGGTACATAGTCCCTAAAATGGAGAGAGCAGGAAAGAAAGTTCCTTTAAAAAGATAGCCCAGTAAGATGTCTATTTGTAGAGAAATATCCTCTGGATTAAAAAATGTGGAAGTATAGGAGTGACCGGAATGGCGGTAATTTTATTTGAAGACATGCTGAGAGTCCAAGTTAAGGACACAGGCCTGCGTTAGAATCCAGTGCTTGCTGCATCCTACTCTAAGTAGGAAGGACATTGAGCAATTAACTTCTTTAAGCCTCAAGTATCAATTGAATGTAAGAATAATTTTATGAGGCACTGTGAGGATTAAACAAATTACAGTGCTCAACCTGACACACACAAAAAGTCATTAACAAATGGTAGTTACTTGCAGTGTTGGCATTTTATTGCTGCTGGCGTTGTGCATTACTAGTGGGAGGGGAACCAGATCTCCTTTCAGGGGAGACTGTAGCTAGTTCAGAAGAGCTGGCTCAAGGTCCCCAGGTTTTACGTATGGCCTGGGACTGGAGCATTTATAAGGGAGTAAGAAAGTGCCTCTGATACACTGCACAGTGATTAATACATAGTACTGTGTTGTAACAATTATTGCTGGCTGTTATTACTAGCACTGTTGTTTTATCATTTTACTATTGCTATAAGGGAAGTATTGTTCTAGATGCCATAGGGGATAAAACATTTTAATAATGTGATAAATATCCCCACGAGGCTTTTTCATCCGAGCGCGTTATATAACGGGCAGTTTTCAAGTATCATTTCTGATTTTTACAAACACCCACAGGAAGGTGACTATCTTTGTCTTCATTTTACCAAAGAGGAAACTGAGTTCCAGAGAGGCAATAATCAAGCTCATTAAGTAACCAAGGTGGGATTCAAACCCAATTCCATCTGACTTTCTACAAAACTACACAGTTTTTTATGTTTCTGTGCTGGAAATCTCTTCACTAAAGTCATGAACAGCCTCTGAGCTATTGACCTAATCTTTCTTTTGCTGTCTTCATCTCACTAAACATCAGCTGTGTTTGAAATTGCCATCATTTCTTCTTCTTCTTCTTTTAACATTTCTTTATTGA